TGGTTGGTGTCCGTCAGCAGGAATGTGTACGTGCAAGAACGTGCTCCTATATCTACGTTGCAATTGACTGTGCATTGCAACTAGTTATTGCGGCCACTCTTCGCGTGAAAATTCTCCAATAGGCACGATTCCTCTCCGAGACCGGAACTTGTCGAGAATGCAGTCGCCTTTCCTGAGAGTCTCTCCCATGGCGAATGAATCTTAAGAACCTGCGAGTCTCGAAGATGGCATTAAATTGTTCAAGGAACAAGCTGTGTATCGTGAGATCGATTTGAAAGAGGCTCTGTTCTTCAGTGCTCAGCTGGCTGCCATTCTGCAACAGTGTCGTTCCAAGTGACACTGCCTTGCGCTTCCTGGAAACACCGGCACAGGAGATAGCACGGCTCAACCTACAATAAGCACCTGCTCTTGCTTCTACAGTGTCCTCCCAATCAAAAATCACATAGTCATTTCCATTCCAACAGGCCATTTGGCAATGGTGGTTGCAAAAGGCATCGAACTCCGTACCTAAGAAAATGTCACGAACCTTTGAGTTTCTCTCAGCCCAGACTCCACATCGCACCGTGATGTGTGCCATGACGTCCACCAAGAGAGGTCTTGCATGAATCAAATCATCTTCTCTGGGAATGATGATAGAATGCATTTGTGCCATAAAGACAGTGACGAAGCTATTATCTCCCCTTGGAAGCCATGCAGCTAGCAATGCATTCTGCCAGTTGAGAGCTTTATAGCAACTGATTCGTCTTGGTGTCTTGTTGATTCTGTGCCACCTAGATACGAAATATGTGTCAAGCACCAAAGGATCCACCTCTGGTAGTCGTACAGCAGACTCGGTCAGGAATGCCCTCAGTAAGTCGCCGACCTCTGCTTCACGTCCTAAAACCACTGCTCCGTGCACCGCGACAAGATGCGATTGAAAACCCTGAGTTCCACTTTCGCTTTCTTGTAGAGGTGGACCGAAATCACTCGCATCTGACCTTTCCATAAGCGACATGACCTCGTGTTCTGCTTCGAAGTGGACTGTACTATCCGTTCTCTTAGTAGGTTGGATATCAGAAGACAAAGCATAAGTCTCGGCATGGATCCTGGCTCTCACACCTACAAAATCCAAGCAAAGGAAAATCAGGACTATTGCTTTCATTTGCCTTCTGTTGATTCTATGACAACTATGCGATCGAGGTGGAGTTGGCTTTTTTCTGTCTACTCTAAACCGACACCAAGTTTCCCAACATGCATAAATTCCAGACCCGAATAAGGCGATTAGTTCAAGACAGCAAAAGAGCATTGCTTGTGCGATAACCTCATCCGCGAAGTCATCGACATGACACTGCTCCCACCTTGAATCATTAACCCTTGGATGCGTCTCGAACGAACTGATTACTGGCCTTTCAAGTCTGGCAAGACAATGGGGAAAATCAGAGGCACGAAGTAGCACAGAAAGCCTGGGAATGCCTCTTAGGCGTTCCCGTCTTTGCACTACTCCATTATCGATTTCTCTGGATGTTTGTAGAAAAGGGTGGCAAAATGAGCCTTCACTCCAGCAGTTATAGCTATCCGTCCAAAGGCGTGCCTTCAAAAATGGCGCCAACGGACCATTCTGACAACAATCAGCTACATGAGAGCATCCCCATTCTTCATGGCTGAATATCACTTGGTCTCTGCTGGATCTACATCTGCCTTTTCCCCTTTTTCCTTTTTCTCCACAGCTTGCTTCAAGTGAGTCTGCCTGACTCCTTGGGAGGCGATGCAGCACCTGCAGCTTTGCCCGACCGAGGAATGGCTCTTCGAAATGCCCTCAGAGCAACTGCTGGTTCTGCAGTTTTGTCTGCGACCAGCTCTTCCTCCATGTCTTCTTGCATTTCGTCGTCGTCTATGAGCTCCGATTCCTCGATTTTGCCAAGCATCCTCTGCATCTCCTCGAGAGTGGGGATTGCATCCCCCTCGTCTTCCACACTGATATTTGTCCTTAGTGCAGAAGCTACGTGCTTCACCTGCGTCTCTGTTGCCTCGACAAGTGCAGCTTTGGCCTTCCCTCTGTCCCGTTGATAAACTGCCCATCGCTCTTGCATGCTGTTCTTCGCTTTTAATGCAAAGGCCTGCCAATCTTTGTCGGCTTTTTGCACTTCCTGTTTGCAGAGCTCCACCTGCTTTTGGGCCTTCCCAAGTTTGGAAAGATGCCCATGTGTCAGGCGAGGACTCGATTCTCCTCTCTGCTCCAGGGTTTGAATCTCCTTTGCCAAGCTCGAAGTTGCTGCAGTCCCATAGTAGCTTCTGATAGCTGCCAGGTGTTGCTGAATATCCACTGTAGCGGCATTGCCTTCTACCCCACCTGGAGGAGCAGGCGGTGGTGGTAGTCTCGGCGAGGGTGGTAATGCTGGTGTGGTCTGTGATCTCCCCTTGCTCTTGGTTTCCTTCCTGGGTGGAGGCGTAAAAGGATCTTGCTCTTTCCGCTTTTGAGACTTCGATCGATCTCGCTTCCAATCTACTGCCGTATAATGCTCTCCGCAGGAGACAATAGAGAGCTTTGGGGGCATTCTTCTGACCACACTGACAAATCCACCTGAGAGGCATTGTGGATATCTGGCCCGGCAATGAACTGCCGTGGTGCAAGACAACACGAGTTGTTGCACCTCGAAGGCGATGCTTTGATACCTTGCGGCCTTGTTTCCAGGCTTTCAAGGTCTTGCGTGCAGCTTTTCTCCTCCTTCTTTGATTTCTGTGCCAAACTGGTTCTTGGCGTTTCGTGTCCGGCAAATTGCAAACAAAGAAGTGCGAGGATCAGGACAATAAAGAAGGTCACGTAGGATCGAACCACGCAGACCATGCAAAATGCAGTCGGCGCGGCCCTAAGGCTACCGGCTAGTGCTGTCCGAAGTGTGAGGGGGAACTTCCCACCCCGGACCAGAGCCAAACCTTATGATAAACAATACGAAAACAAAATGATAATAAAACAATAAACAATGATAAGCAAAACCATAAAAAAATGATAAGCAAACGATAACAAAATGATAAGCAAACGATAAACCAAATGCAAGAGCGGATAAGAAATGATTAAAAAAAATGATAACGCCAAACGATAAATAGACTATAAAAACATGATTAAAAAAAAAACTATTTTGACTACTCCAGTCTTGTGGCTGTGAAGATCTCATAACTTTAGAGGGTCTCGTGGTTCATGGGCAATCCACGGACGTGTGACGCACGTGTCGTACGGGGTGATGCACATGACGATGATGAGGAAGATCATGGTAAGTGAGGCAGATGAGGATGTTGATGATCTGTTAGTAACGGTGATGGTGAACCTTCAAGGCCTTGGCAACCTTTCAACAGGAAAACTACATGTCACTCCCACGTCCTACCTATCACTGACTGACATCCCGACCATCCTCAGGCGGGATTCCACCCCCCGAGCCGGGTCGGGTGTTGCACGTGGAAAGCAACCCATGGGACTGCCATGTCGGACCTGCCTGAGAAACGGCGAGGGGTGGTGCCAGGGGGGTCGGCCTCTGGGGCGGCAGTCCGTCCCGGCAGTCCCATGAGTGTTTGGTGGATTTCATGAACATTGGACGTTCAACTTTGAATGTCAAAACTGTTCGCTTTTGCTGCCGGGCTGCTGGTCGCATCTGGTCGCCACACACCGCTTGCACTGGGATGGCTGAAACTACTTGGAGTCCCATTCCAGCCGCTGGCCGCGAGCGCGGGCGCCGCACGGGTCACCCTGCGGCGCCTTCGCCTCGGCGGACTCGGCCAGACCGGGTGTGGTCGGACGGACTGCCCGGACGAGGCCGACCCCCCCCGGCACCACCGGCCGTGGTGGTTTCACGGCAGGTCCGACATGGCCGTCCCAGACAGGTCCAAACGGGTCGGACCGAGCTCTCCTTCGACCCCACACCCTCGACACGTCGTGCACGGAGACAGTCCTGGGACATCCTGGAACGACTATCAGACACGACTATCAAACACATCTGTTCCTTGGGGTCTATCCATTTTATTCGGGGCCCAGTGGATGATGATGGGGCCTGGTTGCAGGCCGAACGTGAAGAAAATGATGATGTTCTTTGTTGACTGACTGTTACAGGTAAGAACGGACAGGCCCTATCTATTCCCCGGTTGGGGGATTTGCATGGATTGAACCAGTTCGGGGAAAATCACAAAATCACCCGATGCAAAACCAGGTTTGAGTCACATCCATGGCACATCGATGTGGACACCCGGTCACCCTCGAATGTTCGGCACCCATGTTGGGAGTGGAACTCCTGGTTGGGGGTGTCCTGGCTAGTCCTTCGAATGAATGGATCTTATGTAGCACTGCTCCAGGATGCAGGGCAACACGTAGAGTTGGATGCGGGGGGTGTTGCCACATGCATCCACATGCCAACAACCATTCGGCACGTCCGTCCACCTTTGGCGGAACTGGTTCATGAATCGGACGGGAAGATCGGAATCGTTTCGAGCTCTTTGAGCCCAGGATGGTCCAATAAACAATAAACCATAATCGTCCACAAACACCCGGATGCATTCAGTTCAGCCATTCAAAAGAATGGGGCACGACCTGGTGGTGCCGTATGGAAAATCCATCACGCAGCTCGGTTCCGGCTGATGCTTTGTGGTATTCAGACCAAAAACGTACCATGCTTGGCCACGAGTTATAGGGTGATCAATTTGATGATCTGAACCCTGGCCACAGTCCAAACACCTCCCCCCCACCTGCCACGCACGCATGCCTGCCGCGCACTCCCTGCGCTCTCCCCGCGTCTTTTTCACCCCGTCGGATGCGGATGCGCACCTACCGCCGCGGTGCACAGGATCCCACCCACACTTGGTCCAAGACACCTGTGGCCATCGTGTTCTCTGGATCAACTGACTCGGCATCCAACTGACTCGGTACCAGGGCCCCCGGTTTGGGGTGGTGAATGGATACCCCTTAACCTCTATACGGAGCTATAATTAGACACCCCTGGCCCCGGGGGCCCTGGTATAGGTCTGACGACTTAGCATGTCTAGCCTGTATAGCCCAGTTCAGCCCGAAGGAGTTGGAACTTGGCCAAAAGATCAGGGTCCACCAGTGGCAGGTAGTTTCGAGCTTCCATCATGTCCTCGTCGTCGTTGGTGTGGTTGCCATACGCCGCCTGTTCCATGGAGTTGTGGGGGAGATGCCAGGAGAGCCCATTCTCACCCGCCTGTAGATCTTCGGCCACGGCGGAATCCAAGATTGCCTGTCTCTGCCTCTCGGTGATGTCCTCTCCAAAGAGGAAGCGGACCATCTCCTGCACAGGCTGCACATCCAGGCTCATTTGGGGGTCAGTCTGCAGAAACGAAAAACCAATTAAAACCAACCAACCCAAACGCTCCGATCACAGCCCTTGCTCTCAAAACCTATAATATTTAATAGATTTGAGATGATTTGAGACCCCCAACGAGCCCCTCTATATGAGCCACTCCTAGTGGAAGAGGCCGTCCGCCTACTTTCGGGGTCTGATGACCAGGTCTGAAGGCCACACGAGAACGGCCGCAGCCATTTCCATGAGTTTCTTGAATGATCTTGGATGACTTGGGAGCCCCAGAACAGGCTTTAAGGACACATCTAGGTTGAGAAGGGCGGACGAAGCATGAAGCGTGAAGGGAGTCCCAGATGTTTGGGCATCCCCAAACCCCACTGAAGGCCAGGGTTTTGGAAGAAGTCGACGGTGGTGGTGCGTTTTGGAAGAAGTGGGGGTCCAATCTGTTGAGTTTAAACATGCTTCGTGTGGAGCTCCTGAATGGTGCGATTGAAGTTCTTTGAGCTATTCGTGATGATCTCAAAGCGAATGATGTACATGTCTGGTGGGGCCACTTTGTAGGCGTCGACCATGTAGTGGACAGTTTTGATCATGCGCCTTGCCATCTCTGGAACACCCTTCTCGGGACCCATCTGTGCGATATTCATGCCCAAGCCGGTGTTCGGCTCGTTGCCCCGATGGTGATAGACATACGCCGAGACCACCATCTCAAGCGGATCGCGAACGGTCAAAACCCCACGAAAGCCGCCGGCGTGCTGCGTCAGCGCGCGTAACTCTTGGATGACCTCACCGGAGACATGATTGTCGTAACGAAGCCTCGCAGGGTGGAGCTGACAATCACTCCTCATGGGTGAGAAGGAGGTGAGCTGGCCCCCAGTGGTGTTGTAATTGCAGGAGTCCATGCCTCCCAGGACATCAAAGGTCCTCATCATGATGTGCCGCAGCAGTTCGGTGCCTGATTTGTGGTGGCAGCCCACCAAGTAGGCACGCTGCTGCCAACTACTAGGCGCTCCGCGACGGACTTGCCGCCGGTGTCGTTTGCGCGGGTGCACGCGCGTTTGGAAGAGTCCAGGGCCGTTCTCCTCACAGGTGGCTATGGGCCATTCAGGTGCCGCACTCCAAGCGCCCACCACACTCAGACTCCATAAGTGCAGGACATGAAGAGGCTGCATGTGGAGTTGGGTTGCTCCACCATTTAAGCAGCTTGAGCCCAAAAGAAGGACACAGTGGGAGGAAGTCTTCCAGCTGCTTCGAAGCGGTCAGTGAGAGGACAACCCTAAACTAAATACTAAATTAGGTCTCCAGTTGGATACTCATTGGAAGCGCAGCCACTAGCTTCAGCAAGCGCTGGCTGCGCTGAATTCATCTCAAGCTCCCAAAAAAACCTTTTGAGGATGCTGAAAAGGATAACTACACACTACGCTCTTTGTCAGAATGATGGAAGTGGAAAATTGCCCTTTGGATGACAAGTTGCCTCTACTAACAGTTCGTTGTCCACTTCCGTTGTTATTTCAAGTTATAGGAGCGCCTGTATGAGATATATATATATATCATCTGTTTAAAAGCTTTAATCACATGCCATAAATTAATGCCCAAGGAGGCACATCCTGGGCCCACCGATATGCCAGCCCCAAAAACGTCTTCTCTTCCGAGCCGCATCTCCGGCTGCACCGGAGCGTGCACCGCCCGCGTGCACCGAGCCGCTTGTGGTGTTTGAAGCTATGAGGTCCGGTCTCCCATGGTCTCCCCAAACGTTTGGTCGCTCTGAGGTGTGGTTCCAGACTTTCGACTGACCAACTGGCAGAGTTAGACTCAGACTGCCCTGATTCGTGTTCTCTGGTTGGGTCATGGACTGCATGGACTGCATGGCACTTGATCTGTCTCACCGAACAGGCCAGTCTGCGGGTGGCGTGTGAGCTCGCTCTGTACAGCCCCAAGGCTCGTCATGTTTCATAGTTGGAGGGCTATCGCTACTAGCTTGGAGGCCATTGCGCCATGAGTCACTGACTCAAAAGAAGATTGTGCGTCTTGTTTGCTTAAGATCTTTTTCTGGGGGTCCCTCAGTCCCGCAGATGGTGAAATCAGCACCTAGGGCCTGAGCTTTCCCCCCTTCTTCAGCCTTGTGAGAATGGCAGGGAGTCCTGGAGGGCAGGTAGTCCCCTGCAGAGTTCGAGTTTGAGACAGGTTCGTTCCTCCAAATCTGTGACTTCAGCTTCTTGACACTCACCAAGCTTGGCTCATGGGGTTCTATAAGTTGAACATCGATCAGTGACGACATTCAGAGAATAAGGCCTGAATCGGGATGCTTTCTCAAAAAGCGGAGCAAACCAAGATCCAAGTCGTGAACACCAGGTGTCTCGCCTTCCATCCCGAAACCCTTTCCCCAACGGTCACACCGCCGACCCCGGAACTCCGCACGGCTTTTTGGGCGGAACTCCGCACGGAGCTTCTCATCAAAGGCTTGTCGTCTTCACTCAGCCTGGGCGGGCGGCCGCTCAACGCCGACACTCGACGGCCATCGTTTTGGGGAGCTTCCACCAAGAGTCTTTTGGTGGATTTGGGGGTTGGAACCGGGAGAAGAAAAGGCTTCAACCTCTTCCCCCAATTTAGGGCATTAGTCCAGGACGGCCGGCGCCCCTCAAGGACCCCATTGGCACATGATTTGCACCCTTCTCCCCAAAAGGGCCCTCCAAGGTTCAACACTGTAACAGCTGCCCTTTGAGGGCAACAGCCGTTGGACCCGCCGCATGCCAAGCCCACGCATGTCACGGTGCGAGCTGGGAGCTCCCGGCCGCATCATTACCAGGCCGTAGGCCGTGATGCAAAGGCCTGGCGAAACCAACGGCGGGTGCCTAACTTGGATGGGCATGAAGTCAGGTGGATGGGGATCATGACCAATATACTCTTGAAATACATCTGCCTACTGCATAAATGCTTTGGAAACGATTCTGAACGTGAAGGGCCCATCGTTTTGCCATGGGGTCGGTGGCACTGTCGCTTAGGGAAGCCAGCACTTCCCCAAACAGAAGTGACCCAGTGATGGCCTTTTTGGACATCATGGCTATCGTTAAAATAGACCGCGTCGATTTGCTTCCACCATGTTCCACCTATTGGTGCTTCACTACGACCTGGGATACCTGGGTGGGGGGCATCACCTGACCGATGAATCAACCAACCGATTTCACCGGGGTCTTTTGGACCAACCACTGGCGCCAAAGGGGAGGCCAACGGCCGATCGGATCGCCTCTCACAGGCAGTGGATCCATAGGCTTGCCGAGTCTGTTTGGTCTACCAGCCGTTACTCCAGCAGTTCCACCAGCCGTTACGAGGAACTGGAGGTGTGGTTTCGGAGAGCCTTTTTGTCACATCCACTCACCCTTTCCAATTGGGGTCTCACAACAATTTCAAACCACCCAACTCCGTGGAATTGAATGGTGTTGGATTGAACGACCAGGCGGATTTGATGGAGTGGATGGTTTGGATTCGTTTTCCTCCGGTGTTCTTTCCCACGGCCATCTGAGCTGAGCTCAGCTGCTTCGAAACGGCCGGTCTCTGGCCTCCCCAAACGCGCGCCGGCCGAAAACGGCCAGAGACAGACGGGCCGTCTCTTCGCCTTGGGGAGTGAACTCGTGGACTCGCTGCGGGAGCATCGGTGCCAAAGCCTTCAGCAACCTCAGCGGTCGTGTCGTCCGGTCGTCGCGTCCCGGTCGAGCTTCGATGGAGGAACGGCGTCCGAAATCCGCCGAGGCAGGCGTCAGGCAGGAATGGGTTGGGAAGCGGTTCTGGTGGAGGGCGGAGGGATGGGTTTTGGGGGATGGAGAAGGGAAGAAAAAAAGGATCAGAAGGCGGAAAGCCATAGATTCCCAAAAAGTCCGGTCTGGCCAAGTTAAACCTCCAAGATTCCCTCTTGTTTGGCCAAACTTCCCGGATCCAGTTCTGCGTGAGGTCCGTAAGACCTGTAGCGATTGGGGAAGTTCGGTGAAGCTTTGGCGTCCAATGAGTGTCCAATTTATGGACTACTACTGTATGCCCCACAAACCATCACAAACCTACTGGATCTTGATTGGACACCCACCCGAACAAAACGTGGGCCATGGCCATGGCCCAGAAATCAAGCAAAAGAGGCTGCCTGGCGCTCTTTCTCCTCTGCCTGGCGCGACATCGTTGCATCTTCAGCCCGATGTCCACTCAGTTGAGAAGCTTCTCCAGGAACTCTGCATGTCTCGCGCGGTGCCAGTCCTTGCAAACCGTGATTCGCCTGCGACGGCAGGGATGAATAGACTCACATGAACTCAAGATTTAGACCGATATTGCAATTGCGAATAGCAATAGAAGAATTGCTGAAAATAAAAACATAAAAGAACATCATTGTGTATGTCATCTTCATCCCTCACAACAGCCAGTGAAAACCTTTCATCACTCTCTCTTTCCTCCGTCTTGCGCCCAAAAGGGACACGTACGTATACGTCCGTCATTCTGCCTGGGTACACGTACGTCCGCCCAACCGCAGGTCACCTCACTGGAGTGGCCAGGGTCATGTGCATGGTCCGTCGGCTGGTCCTTGGACGCGTTGAACGCAAGAACTGCTCAACACCGGCACAGTATAGTCAACGACTTGGTTTTGTTTGAGGAGTCGTCCCCTCCATGAATCGCCCAAAAAGGATGCTCTATACTTAACCAAACATCTAAGAGTCTGATCACTTCTCTAACATCGCCGAAATCCCCCCATTCAATGAACAATTCAGCGGACAAGCTGAGAGAAGAGGGTAAAAAGAAACTCCTTCAGCAGCGACCCAGTGGCTCGAAGTCTCGCAGTAGCGCAAAAGTGACGCACACCACCTCCAAAACATCATCTCATCTCATGGGCTCCTCGTTTTGTTTTGCTGGCTCACGGCGCATCCAAGTGCTACCGCGCCAGGTGCCAAGCCCAGCCCCGATGCCAGGTGCAACGCCCGGCGCGCGACGTCGGTGATCTGGAACTCGCCGGTCCTCAGGAACTAAGTAACTACACCCTGGTTTAATCTAACCAGGACCCTCTAAGGGGTGCCCTGTCTGGAAGCCTATAGGTAGTGTGGGGAAGTCCATTGGACACCCCTTGGAGGGTTTAATCTAAGAGCGACCTACTATGGCCTGAAAAACCTGCTGGCGATGGCCTCCAACATCCTCCAACCTAAGAGCGATGGCCTCCAATCCAAACTACACCCTGGAAGACCCACATGGAATCTGAGAACCACTGGGCCCAGTGGTTGTAGAGGAAAATGGTTTTCCAAAGGTCCATGCATCAGGTTCCATGTGGGTCTCTTCTTCCCGGGTGTAACTCACGTTTTTTCCTCGCGTGCTGATTTGGAACGAGGTCGAGGCCCTCGGCCAATCTTGGTGCGTTCTTGGTCGAACCGTCGTTTCGCGCAAACGAATGGACGGCGAAGACCAGTGTTTGTGTTCCTGACGGGTCCCAGGAGCATGCGAATTCGGTTCTGAAGCCAGTTCGATGATCGAACCATGGCTTTTAGCCCTCCTTGGGTGGGATCCATCAGAAAAGGAGACAATCCCTTGCACCCTGAGGATGAGTATGTCTTGCTCACCCAACGGGTCGCGCGCATCCCTCTCTGTCGCCGCCACAAAGGTTGGAGGGGATCAGGTTGGATCGATTGGATAGAAAACATGATTAGTGTCGATCAAAAAGCCGAATTGGGTGGTGCTGGTCTATTGATTGAGCTCCGTTTACATCAACTGAGGAAGCCTGTGGACCTCCCAGGTATAGGTGCTTTCTCAGCAGGAAGAAGCACAGAACAAGGAAAAAGGTGGCAGGAACAACCAGAAGAAGATATGCAACAGCTAAAAACACTGGAACCTCATTTCTGATGGGTGGAGGATGGTGGAGGAGGGAGGGTAACTCATAAATACCTTTTCCATGCAGTTTCATCAAAAACGGAATCATATATAGTCAGTGATCAGTGATCAGCAGAATCTTAGCACAACTGCTTGTAGCCAAGTGCGGGCACATTGAGCCGCCAAGGGGGGCTGGTTCAGCCCCCCCCAGCAAAAAAATGCCAAAAACAACATCGAATATCAAAGAATTGTATCGATACAATCGAAGAGCATATCCCTATTTGTAGGCATCTCCCAATTTTCAGCCCAACTGGTGGATGCTTAGTGAAGGCTTTTACTGTAGGCTGCGAGGTCCCCCAGGTCCGTCCAAGCTGCAAGAACTCCTCCACCTCGAGGCTTGGGACGTCCTGGCGCCTCGTCCCAATGAAGAGCAGCGCCTCGCTCGCGGTATCGCGGTATCGAGGTGACTTAGTAGCTTCTTAGGTACTATAGGACCTTAAGGGCAAGAAGCTACGTTCCTAGCAAGCTAGCTGCTAAGCTATGATGCTACTTACGTTCGTAGCTTCTTGCTCCTACTAGTAGCTTCTTGCCCTTGTTCCTAGTCGCGATGCACTTTGACCGTCCATGTTCCGTCTCAGTTGGGATGGCAATTGGATCGGTGAACTTCGATGACTTCAAGTCAGGCTCATGAGCCCCAAAGGGTCTTGAAGGGTCTTGAACCATCAATTTGGGCCATTGAGGCTCATGATCAATCAGGTGAGCCGAACCCTTTCTTCTTGGGTCATCAAAGGGGTCCCAACTCCCTCAGCATGCCAACCGGACCATCAAGCAGGGCTGAAGCATCCCACACATCCATCGATGTTGACCTTACATCGTCCTCCAACAAATCACCAATCCCTATATAAATCCACTGCCGCCCTCCTATCGGTACGGCGATGTGTTCGACACTTTTTAATGCGCCAGGGCCGGGTCCAGCTGTATCGAACCTGAGAAGGTGGCAGTGGTTTCCTGGGGAAGGAACTACCCTAGAGTACACCCTACACGACTTATGGACCTCGACTTCCAGGCCATTCGTGGGACAAAAAGGGCCCACCGTTGGTTGAAGAGTCTTTGACCAAGCAACAATGGCACCCTTCCTACTCGAACAGATAATGGAAAGAAAACCAAGCCCGAGAGCTCAAGACGAGCTCCATGGCACTTCTTCAGGATTCCGCACCCTGAAGAAACCCAACCGGTCACCTTTCGAAGTCTCGGAAGCCTCAACCAGCGTGTTGAGCGAAAGGCGTGCTCAGATGCCCGTGCAGGTCGTCCCAAACCGTTGAAGATGACCGTTGAGGTCGGTCAACAGCCTTGACACTACAGGACCACAGTCCTCCTCATGGTGGTGTACCCAAGAGGAAGCTTCGATGTCCTAACATCTCATGAATCTAAGCCTTTCAAGCTGACCTCTCTCTCCATGTTCTGTTTTTGCCCCACCATTCGCCTTGGGACCCCCATGGGCTAACACACAGGGGAATAGTTACCAACCTTGGGGTGGTTTCAGGGGCCTGGGCATGGGCTCTTGATTTAATAATGGGCACCACCCCATTTAGATTGTACGACCTCTTACATACAAGGGTCTCTCCTGAGCCATCACACGCCATTGCAATCTTCCAATGGCCAGGTATGGAGCTGGATACGTCCCAGTCGGTCTAAAGAGAAGAAAAAACACCAAGGATTTAAACAGAACATTCGTCTTATATAATATATAATATATATATATAAAGGCTCAAGCTCTCAAGTCCAACCCCTTTTTGCTTCGCAAGACCT